TCGGTGTCTGACGCCGAAATCACTGGCGGCAGTTTTACAGCTTTGGAATGAGTTCAGGGCAGGTTTGTGGTGTTTTAACTTGTTCGTCTAGTATCGGCTCAGCTTGCTTGGAAACTCAACTGACGTGGTTCCAACAAAAGCACCACATATCAGGTACTATCCACAACTTTGACGTGGCAAGTCAAAAACAAGTGAGTCAAGTGGAGTAGAGCCGTGCTGCACCATGTAGTGGAAATGCAAGCCCAAATCAGAGACGACTCCAGTGGCATCATTATGACATCATCAGGGTTATTTTCACAAATGTGACCACATATTATACAACTGTTTTTACACAATTTGAGTGGTATAAATTGATGAAGTGCATCTTTAACATTCACCAAATGAATGCCCTCCTTGTCCTCATTGGGTGCCGTAACTCTGAGGTATACATCTCCAAAACTGTCTTCATGGCTGGACTCAGCTGTCAGTCTGTTTTCGGTTTTCTGACCCTGAAAGATAAACACCCAGAGGCTTGTGCAGCCTCGGGGTGCTACGTGCTTAGTGCTGTCCGGATTAGCTCTGGATGTTAGTGAACAGAGAGGGATGTCGGATCTCAAGGGTCAGTTTTAGTTCATGAGCAGTTCTCTGCAGTGAGACCAGAACACGCAGGATTTATCAGCAGCCCTGAGCAGAGGTCAGGTACGGCCGGGTCAGTCAGGTCACAGCGTCTTCCAGAGCCAACTGACCTCTCCTTAATCCCCACATACTTCCTGCCGGAGAGAGGAGGAGGAGGAGGAGGAGGAGGAGGAGGGTGCTGCAGTTAGCTGCTCCTCACCCTGGGAATTCATCCAGAGCAGCTGAGATGTTGATAACAAACTGCTGAATCACTCTGACACCAACAAAGGCTGAGGATGAATGTTCATTTAAGTATTGATATCACAGTATTAAACAGCTTTGTAAAAGTAAAAGTCCTGTATCCACAACCCTGTCTGCTAGAAATGTCTGGGAGACAGTGCTGGCATGATGAGGCACATTAATACTAGTCAACTGCCAATCGGCCCTAGAGGAAGGATTCAAAAATTTCAGACAGCAACAAACGAGGCGATGGTGGAGGAGGCTGTAATTGTACCTTTAAACAGAGGCAGTATTGTAGATGGCAGTGGTCTGTGCAGCCATCAAATACCTTGACACATGTGGACGGAGAATTCTTTTCATTATATTACCAATTCTTTCTGTTCCGTCATTATTTAAATGTCTTTGTCATTTCCCACGGTTGTATCTCTCTTTGACTACACTGCACTGCCTCCACGATCTCCAGTGGAACTGCTCTGTTTCATCAGTATCCGCTAGCTTTCAGAAAATGTACACAAATATGGATCAAAGGAGCCCAGAGTACAGACCAAAGGCTCCGTCTCCATATTTAACACTGAGCATGAATCTGCCCTAAAACTGTACTTGAGTCAAAATATGAAATTTGAATGAATGCTCAGCAGTCCAGTCTCCAGAAGAAAATGTTGGCATTTCTGCAAACCATGAGTGCATTACATTTGCATGTTTCATACGTATCATCAATGTTTGTAAAACGACATAGTGTATGAGCTGACTTTGTCTTTGGGAGGTAAGAGGAAGATGGATGGTGTGAAACCTCACAAAATGTGAGTGTTATTTAGAGACCCGTCACTGGTTTTTTAGCCGGGATAGTGTCACGAAAAGTGATTCATTTTTACAGAGACCATTGGTGCGTTTACTGCGGGGGTAGTGCATTGAAAAGAGGGTATTTTAAACCAAAACATGTTCATTTTGTAACCATAATCAAGAAGGTTTTTGTGTACTAAACCTAACCATTCATTAACCACAGCAACGCTGAAGATTAAAGTTTGAACATACTCACTATTTTACTATATAATGACGAAAACTCTGTCTTTGTGTGTGTTCCACGTTTTTCTCCTCACTGACTTGGTCAATCATTGTGAAATTTGGCACAGTGGTAGAGGGTCATGGGAGGATGCCAATGAAGCAATATTACATCAATTGGCCAAAGGGAGGCGCTATAGCAACCCATTGAAATGTCAAACTTTGAATGGGCATATCTCATGCCCCGTATGTCGTAGAGACATGAAACTTTGCACAGAGATGCCTCTCCTCATGAGGAACACATTTGCCTCAAGAACCCATAACTTCTGCTTATATAGATTTTCCTCCATTTTGAATTTTTTGAAAAACACTTCAAATGGATCTCTTCCTAGGAAGTTTGAGCGATCTGCATGAAACTGGGTGAACATAATCTAGGGACCAATATCTAAAGTTCCCTCTTGGCAAAAGTTGGAAAACTTACTAAAACTGAGCTTCTATAAGGCAATGAATATTGCGGAGGGCGTGGCTCATCACATAAAGGTGTATAACATCTCAAGGGTTTCACCCATCACCACGCAACTTTGTAGGCATATGACCACACATAATCTGAGGGGACCCCTCCATTATTGACCCCATCAAACAAAATGGGGGCGCTAGAGAGCTCATTTCTTATCTAGTCCTAACCGCCATATGGATTTTTACTAAACTTGGTAGATATGTAGAACAGGACGCCTCAAGGTGACTGGAGAAATTTAACTCTAATTGGCAACTGGGTGGCGCTATAACAACAGAAAAATGCTTCAAAATGGCTAAAATGCGACCGATCGCTGTGGCTCCCCCTGTGGACCAATGTTGTTGTTTTCTAATGTTTGGTATGACTAAGTCATGGTATGGTATGCTGTACATAATCACGGAAACTGTCAGTGTCATTCTGTCAGTCAGTCATTCTGTCTGTCCCACGTTTTTCTACTCACTGATGTGGTCAATCTATGTAAAACTGCACATAGGCATTGAGGATTGGCATAGGTAGAAGGTGACAAAGCTACCAGTGGGTATGGACTAGTATCATAGTACAAATGTATCTGTGGTCTGCAGAAACATACAATGCCAATATTTTTCTGGTGACTAGGAAAAGTCTGTTTTTAAGAGCTCCTAAAGGGTTGGCCTTTTGGAGACACAAGATTTTCTTTCCTGCAGCATCCTCCCAATCTAATCCTGAATTTAAAACTCACTCTATAAACAACAAAAACAACACTTGTCTCTGAAGTGCATTTACGGAAGTTTGGAAAGTGCAGTTTAAAGGTTCTGGTGCTCCTTTGGGAGACTTTAGCACTGAACTGAAGGAAATGCATTTCACAAAATGAAAGACTGACAAAATATTTGAGGTACTGATGCAGAGATTTAAAAGTAGTCTTCATGTAAGATAACTTAGTGCTGTTCTCTGGTTCAGTTAAGTAAACACACTGACTCACCTGGAAACACTTCCTCAGTAGAAGGTTTATGGGAACAAATGACACATCTCAATTCTTTGCAAACACCGCCATCTTGTGTCTAAATGTGTGTACTACAAAGACACCACTGAACATTGTAAATTTTATTTTCATCCAGCAAACACAAAATTAAATACACACTGCATCTTTAGAAGCTTTTGGAGACTCTGTCCAAGAGCATTTAACTCATACGGTGTCACTGTCATTTTCATTTGGTAACTACATCAGACTAAAACTCATTTTGTATTAAAAAAAAAAAACCCAAAACATTTTTTATCAGGATTGGTTCTGACACACAACATATTTGAAAATGAAAGGCAAAGTATTTTGAATTATTTACTTCAGCTTCAACTTGATTTAGTCCCTAGGTGGTAATGAGATGTACAGGAAGTAAATATACACAATAAAAAAAAGGTATGAGTGAACACATAAGCATATGGATACTCAACAGTGGGGGGAGGTGGGGAGAACCAAATACAGTAAGCTGAAACAACAGTGGACACTGGAATACAGCCAATTTAAAAAATCTACTGAGCAAACTGAATGATTAGCAGCAACTGAGAACAAGGGTAAGTAATGTTACCCTTAAAAGATGAATTACAAAATCGATGTCTCTCCACCATGATGCTGTTTTTAGGGCTAAAACAGTCAGACTGACTGGTTGATGAACCTAAATTCAGCTTTGAAAAGAAGCTAAATGAGTTATTAATTATTTCTTATTAGTATTTATCAAGGCAGCATGCCCAGTATTATCTGGTTCCAGCTTCTCAAATGGGAGGATTTACCACACATTTTTAACATTTAAACATTTTCCACTGTGCTGAAACATAAATGTGTCCTGGATATAAAGGCTTTTGTTGCATAGATGTGATGGGCTATTACTTGTGATGCAATGCTCAGATTAAACCCAATTTTGCCCACAATTTAAAAATAAATCAGAATGAGGATTGGATTCTACCACATTTTTGTTTTATAAAATGCAGAACAAATGGAGTGTTTTTCTATCCACTTTTTAATCAAATAAAGTGTCTATGTTCTTCTTCCACCTGTGGAGTATCAAGTGCATCAACAAGTCCGTCAAGTTTACCAATAAGTCCCTCACTGAACGACGGGAACAGTCTGTATGTGCAGTGAATGGCAGGGGGCGCACAGAGGCAAGAAAAATGGAAGGAGGCAGAGGATGGAGGAGTATTTCCACTAAAACATGCGCAGAGAAAATGTACATTCACATCCAGTGCGCAATACTAGTAGAGAAATGATTCACTAAAATCATAAATCTACCATAAGGAAAAGATTTTACACATAAAAAATAAAATAAAATAATAAATAATCACATTTAGTAGCTAGAATAATTTTGGCACAAGTGACTCCCTCTTTGGAAACACAGGTACTGTGATGAATATTAAAGCGAATATTATTGGAATATTGCAGAAATATTAAAATATGATAGCACTGGCATCACCATAAAGTACTATTGAATATCGTGTGGCAACTATGACATGAAGGTATCGTGTTAATAAACTCTTACTGACGCATCATAATCAGGATTCATAGGATACAAAAATAAAAAAAGACTCAGACAGTGAAAGACATTTTCATCCTGAGAAAAATTGTGATTGTGCATCTATGTGTTTGCGTGTGTGCACAATCCGCGCGTGCGTGTACGTATGGATGCGCGTGCGCGCAGACGGAGGATCGCCGAGCCGAGCCGTACCGTGCAGCAGGCACAAGCCGCTGGGCGCGCAGGAGAAGCCGCAAAAAATTACAGCAGCCGCTACTTGAAACTGCGAGGAGAGCAGAGGGAGCGTCGGAACTTGAGTGTGCACGGTAAGAACCGCCACGTCTCTTTATTCTCCTCCTTTTCTCCCTAAAAGAGCGCTTTGGATGCTTTTGGCTGTTTTATTTTAATTTTTTTTTCATCCCTTTTGTCTTTTTCCATCTCTCCATTTGGGGAGCCGGGGCGCACGCTGCATGGATGAGTGTAGAGAGGAGACAAAAGATCCGCTGGATTTGACGGAAAAAAAGAACAAAATAGAACAAAAACGGAGCTGAATAGGAACATTTTGTAATTCCAGATATTAATTCTTCTTCTATCCTCCCTTTTTTTTCCAAGCGAAAAAAATATGTGCACGAGCTTGAAAAGGGGTGTGTACCGTCTGGAGGAACACGCGCTTCACCCTCAGACACAGATTTTCGTTTTTCACACTTTTATTGAGGGAAAATGCGCTTCGAGTGCGCACAGGAGCGTCTCCTCACGCGCATCCCGAGCTCTTTATTATTTATTGATTGACCTGAAATTGTTTATTATTATATTAATTTCTCAGGCTGCTAGGCAACGCAAAGAGGAGCGTTTTCCCTCATAATTTACAGCCAGTAAACATTTAAACATCCAGAAATAAGAAGAGCTGTCTCCTGCTCGCCCCACCTCTTTGTCTGTGTGGAGGTGTGACACCATTTGGCTGCATGCAGCTGGCACACTCAAATACACACTATCACACACATTCAGCGTCTCTAACCATATTATGTCATGATTTAGATGAATTATTGATCTCATATTTCCGTTTTATTGCACTGAGAAGAAGGTGGAGGATGGAGGAGGGAGAGGAGGGGGAGATGGGGATTTGGGGAGCGTGTGTGGGATGGAGGAGGAGGGAGGGGGGGGTGATGGAGAATTGGGGGGTGTACCTGAATAACCCCCATCTGCGCACACATACATTAAGTTCATCCTTCCTCTTTGCTTCTGTTGCTGCTGCATCGATGCTGGACGTTATTTCTGCAGCGAGTCAAACTTTATTAGCCATCCTCCGTCGGTTAAATGCCTGGTCCTTTGTTTGCCGCGGCACGCATGCGCACTGGGAGTAGGGTGTGGATGGGAGAGATGCCACCTTGCCTATCAATAGGATGGAGAGGAGGAGGATGGTGATGGCGGGGTTTTAATTCTCGGTCTGTTGATGATTTACTGCGAAGAAAACATTTGATTATAGGAATAAAATGAGATGCTGTCTTTGTCGATGGGATTGTGCGTGCCTCTGTGTGTGTGTGTGTGTGTGTGTGTTTGTGTGTGTGTTGTAGATGGCGGTTTGTGTGTGAATGGAGCCCCAGTGATAGTGATGCTGACTGCTTTTTCACTGAAATATCACTCGGTAGGTTACAGTGATGGTGTATTGAGACAGTGAGTCAGTTCGTCAAATAATTGATTAGTTGATATGAAGAAAATTAATAAATGATAATGCACATAATCAATTAATCATGAAGTCCATTACGAAGTGAAAATGGCAGACATTGTGTAATTCCTGTCTCTCTGTTGTATGTCATTGTAAACTGAATATCTCAGGGCTGTGATGGAGATTTTTCACTGTTTTCTGTCCTTTAGTAAACAAAACGACTGATCGCGTATTCAAACATGAAGTTATAAATAAAAAGTTGCATTAGTTGCAGCTCTAACGCCCCAGCTGAGGTCAATATAAAGCAATCCTATTGTTCAGGGGTGTCAAACATACAGTCTGCGGGCCAGAACCAGTCCATTAAAGGGCCCAATCCGGCCCGCTGGATGAATTTACAGACTTGATATTGCTGCACTTGTGAAGTCTAAGGCGGTCGTACACATGCCGCGTTTTTTGCGCCGTCAAATTCATTGTTTTCAAAGTAGACGCATGGCAGGTGCGCTCAAACACCAGAGTGATGTCAGAGGCTCAAACACCAGAGTGATGTCAGAGTGACACGGTCGCAGTGCACACGCGTTCCTGAGTGGCTATTTGATTTTAACCGAATTCAACTTTTGGAACGCAGCAGTGCGCACTGCACGTCATGTGATGAGAAACAGCCAATCACAGCCAAGAGATATCTTTCCCTTCTTCTGTAAATATCAGTCTGTGATGAATATGGAAAAGTTGATCATGTTAGTGCAGGGCTGCCCAGAGCTTTACATCTGTCCCACGGATGATAGGCCTACACACATAAACAGCTCCTGGAAGAAGATCAGCTCTGCGCTCAGGATTTCAGGTAATAATACGGTGCTTGTTAAGGTTGCTTACGGCGGAATTCCATTGGATGCGTGTCCGTTGCAGAACGGCTGCGCTGGTTATCCGCCGTGTGCTCCATCATCTGTCAACACCCATTGGCTGTGTTTGCTGTGCAGTGTGGTGCAGCTCCGCCGGACAGCGGGAGTCATGAGGACCCAGGAGATCTCGCGAGTTCGCGCATAATCACGAGATATAACAAGCTGTAGTTTCTATAAACAGAACCACAAAACCAGAGGAGTAGTAGGAAGACATCTTGGTGCACCTCCATGATTAACATCTCCTCGTCCATGGTGTCAATGGGATGAAATGACGTCTGAAAACCTCTGACCTGTTGACTTCAGGCCTGCCTCCGCCCATTATGACGTTTTCAAGGTGTAGTGCAGGGAAATATGATCCGCCATGAACACTGTTTATTTTATTTTGAAAATTAACCGGATGTTCTATTTTGCTTCTGTGCACGACTTCCTGCCCCGCACAATCTGCTCTGTGCTGAATTGCTGCATTGTGCTCCTGTGTCCGGCAAAAATAGAAGTCCTGCGTATCTGTTGTGGAGGGCTCCGGAGCTCCGCAGCTGTGACGGAGCCAGAACGCAGCACAGCCGCAGCCGGTGGAAACACACATTGACTAGAATTGAAATGGATCGGCTCCGCTGCCATTCCAGAGCACAGACGCAACCCACACTCATCTGGTGGAATTTGGGGGTTAGCAACCTCAGACGCAACCTGCCGCCATGCTCTGAAAAGCTAGCTGAAAAAAAAAAGGCATAAGAGTAGCAGCCAGCGTGCGACCTCGTGTTTTCCAGGCGGTTAAAGATGCGGCATGCGTACGACCCGTACAGGTGCCAGGTTTCAGAAGCAGCCCAGCTCCCAACGGACGTCAATATGACATCACAAAGATGTTGGACTTTTACCTCAAAGAGACAGTTAAAATATCGTCAACTTGATTTTCAATCTAAACACAATTTTACGTCTAACAATGGAAGAATTTCACATTTTGTTTACATGGTAGACGTTGAGTTTTGTTCTTCGTACCTTACAACTGAATGTCCTTATTCTGCATCAAGATGACGTTTGGAAGATTTTTGTTACTTAACAACACACCTTAAATCCCCAAAAATATCATCTGGCGTCAGTATTCATCATCAGGTTGAAGTTGGCGTTAGACGTTGTCTTGACTTTGAATTTCGGTCACCTGACATCACAACCTAAATTCAACCAAATGTCATTGTCTAACGATGTTAGGGCCAGCTGGGACACGGTGAGGAGGCTTTAGATTTGCAAATGCTTTGTAAGACAGAGGATAACTTAACCTGCGTCCTCAATAGCTTTTAGTGGGTTTTTACTGTCTTACTACACAGGGGTGGGAATGACAAGGACCGTTTGTGTATCTGTTGAATTCTGCATTGACTCTTTAGTGGAGTTGTTGTATTCAATGTGTTTTCTTCTGCTATGTCTGTATAATGTCAGTGCAGTATTTATGTAATACTCCTTATGGGACATGACTTGTTTGTGTAGTGCTCCTCCGTCATGTTTAATGATCTGCTGAGATGAAACAACCCTTTCTAACTCCCATTTCATCAAATACCAACGCTTGGCCAGTGGCCTGTTGGCATCCTTTAGTGGCGGTGTGACGGCCCCAGGGACAGCATTTCTTGACGCTCTGGGCAACTGCCATAGTTTAGAGTGAGAATGTCAGAGAAAGTGTTTACCTTCTTTGTAAGTGTGTTTTAAAAAGACCCAAAATATGTAACAAGTGCAAATTGACATGCTGTCCCCGAACGTCCAAACACAATGCAAGAGGGTTCCTACCGTGCCGTATTTTGACGTGTAGGTCCACTGAGCAACCGCGGGTATTTGACGAGTTGAGAGTGAGAATGTGTTGGATAAAAGTAACTAAACATTCCTCAAGTACAGAGGTAGAGCAGGTCGTCCACTAATCGGAAGATCGACGGTTCGATCCCCAGCTCCTCCAGTCTGCATGCTGACGTATCCTTGGGAGAGATACTGAACCCCAATACTGAACATGGTGGCTCCATGTATGGTAACCTTGGCCACCAGTATATGAATCTGTGTGAATGGGTGAATGTGACATGTAGTGTGAAAGTGCGTCAAGTAGCTGGAAGAAGCTGGAAAAAGGCGCTATACAAATGCAGTCCATTATTGACTCTGCTGAAGGGGCCCATTGTCTGGATATTGTACAGTATTTCATCATAATGTGAGAATGTCTTGGTGATAAGAGTTGGTTCTTTCAGAAGATTTTTAAAAATCATAAATATTGTGGATGTATGGAGCATTCTGATTGGCTCAGACACTGCCATGTGACTGTCTGGGCACACTTGTTGTAATATGTCTTTATACTCTGTTACTTAAACCTGTCTACTAAAGGCAAAGATGGTTTCAAAGAAAAAAAATACATCACTATAACAGACAAATTAAATATTTTTTTGTAATATCACAAAAAACAAAAATCCAGATAATATCCAGTCTCATATCACGACACCAGTGTTAAATCAATATGTAACCCAGCTCCAACTCTAGTATTCATTTAAAGCTCTGGTACGTGTCAAATATGGCGAAGAGTTCACAGCAGCGGTCTCCCTCTGAGCCGTGTTATAAAATCGCCATAGCAACGTGGGGACTGTAGTAATGTGTCCCGTCTGTCTGGCTGTTGATTGGCTCTCATAAATCCAGCCCTGAGTCCGTTCATTCATCCTGCCGGACGGAGACAAACAGCAACCTGATGAGAAGTTACGACGGTGACTCATCCATTACCGCCGCTGTCTGCTGTTCGAGGTGTGTGTGTGTG